TGTGAAGGAAGCATGCACTACTGCCTTCTTCTACACCAGTTCTGTGGGAAGAGAACTTCAATCTCCTCATCCATGGACCCAGAAAGTCCCATGACTTCCTTGTCCATCTCCTCCTGGCATTAGCCAAGATGGCCAGAAGGAGGAAGCAGGACAGGGGGTTGTCTGCAGTTGCAGGGCCTTTTTCTGTTTCCTTCACGCATCTGAGAAGAGTTCCACTAACTCCTCCTAAGAGAAATGGGTGTTTTGAAGTTTCTGTGCTGTGTGTCCCTCTCTGGATCCTTTTTTTTTTTTTTTGGACCCTGTGAACTGCACTTCCAATCCCTTTTTCCCCCCCCATCTTTTGTCCCAAATAATCTGTTGACTTCTGTGTCCCTCTCCATCTTGTGAGAGGGTGAGCCTTTCGTTAGTTTGATGGGATCTCAAATGGGCTTTGGGGCATGCCTTTCATTTTCCTTACAGGCTGTGTTCACTAAACCAAAGTTAAAACAGGATGACATCTGTTTAATGTCCTTTGAAACTTGTTTTTTTGTTATTTCTTGAATTTAGAAGAGACTTCTTTCCAAGCCTGTTAGTGCTGCTACTTAAAGAGCAGTTCTACTCTGACGACTATATCAAAGTGCTACTTAATTACTCCACAGATTTGCTGTCTCAGTCATATCCCATCTGAGTGACAAAAGCAAGTTCTACTGTTTTTTGGTTACTAGCTTTGCAGAACAAACAGTTAAGAGAGAGTGAGCTGAGGATTTTATTTTGTCTTTTGCATCAACAATATTGTTTACTAAGTTCCAAATCAGCAACATTGTGCAAATCCATGAGAAGCGAGGGTGTGTAGCCTAAGTGCCACTGAGGACATAACTGGTCTACAGAACCTCTGTTACCAGTGACAATGCACAAGATATATTTAAGCTGGGTGCTTTCTGAGGCTACGTCTTCACTACGGGGGGGGGGTCGATTTAAGATACGCAAATTCAGCTACGCGAATAGCGTAGCTGAATTCGACGTATCGCAGCCGACTTACCCCGCTGTGAGGACGGCGGCAAAATCGACCTCCGCGGCTTCCCGTCGACGGCTCTTACTCCCACCTTCGCTGGTGGAGTAAGAGCATCGATTCGGGGATCAATTGTCGCATCCTGACGGGACGCGATAAATCGATCCCCGAGAGGTCGATTTCTACCCACCGATTCAGGCGAGTAGTGTAGACCTAGCCTAAGAGACCAGGAGGAATCAAAGGACTGGCTGTTAGGAAATTATACACACCCACACACACTTATTTGAACACATTTTACTTGTTTGTTTGTAAGGCAAGAAAGGCAGGGAGAGAATGAACTGTAGAAGATCAAATAAAAAAAAAGTTTAGTGTTTTTTTAAAGTTAAGAACTTACATTCAGGAGGGGGGCAGGAGGACGCACCTTGGTTGTTGTTTTTTTCTTGGAGGGGGGGGAGGTTGGCTTGCTGATATCCAGACGCACAAAAAATGCACCCAGAGTGTGATTATTTTATATTTAGCTCAAGGTTCTAGTAACATAGGCCATTCAACTCTCCTCTTACTGTTCATATTGAGAGCATACACAGAATAAATTATATCTATATGTATTTATTAACCTATAACTAAAGATTTTTATTTTAAATTTTTATTTTAGTCTTTTTGCTATAATATGAATTAAGTCAAATAACTTTTTGAAGTTTTTAACTGCTTGGTTTTAACACTTGAGTCCAATGTATTAAGGACTGTCCTTTTAAAATTCTTCTAATGGATGGGTGGGGGGAAGGTTGTTTTTCAAGCAAAATCATTTTCAGAACATGATAGTCGCTGTCATAGACTTTGTTTCAGTGTCAATTCAAAGTCTACAGGGCATCCCGAATTGTTCCTCTTGATTTCATAGTTACAATAATGGCATGGCCATTAAAGAATGAATAAGAGATAGAATAAAATGAGAGTTGCAGATATAATCCCAAAAGATTTCTTTTGAATCTTGCTATAGTATGATCCAAAATCCATAGGGTCTCTGAATTATGTGCATAGAACAAATTCCATGGTTGGAATTATAACTTTATTCCAGAGGAGGATAATGAATGGTGCCTCACACAGGATCTTGCTACTGTTAAAACCCCTTGATCTTCACTTAGACAACACAGTGTGGCTGAATGGGTAGCTCAGCCATTACATTCCATCTTCAATCTAATCTGCAAATACACACAATGCACCATTTTCTTAAGCATCCTAAGTGGATGCTCTCATCTCTGGACAGTATTAGGATGCTATTTTTATTTCAATTTTGCTAAAAAGTCCATTTCTATTAAGCTTTTTATTGCCAATAGGGTAAATCCATCCCTTCCTCCAGAGGGAAAGTGTGCCTCTACACAGTGGAGCCAATGATGTTCTGCTGAGCAAGGGGGAGACTGGATGTTTATGCAGGGAGCATGCATCCCGCACATGGAGTGGAGTGCCACTTGGAGAGAGCCCTTATGCACAATTCTCAGGAAGTGGGGCCAGAGGACTCACTTCTGCTCAGATCCCATCATCCTCCGCCTCCCCTACTGCTGGCAATGATGAGGAGAAAAAAAAAAACCCCACAAAGGTCCCACAGAGACTTCTTTGAGCTGAATTAGTCTTCACTCTGCAGCCAGGTATTAAAGAAGTAAAATGATTCCTTCCCTATCCAACACCCAGCCCAGGTACTGATGAAATTAAAACTGTACAGTAAACACTTTGAAATGAATATACTTCAGGATCAAATCCTGCAAACAAAACTAGTCCAACCAACTGTCAAAAGAACTACCTGCATAGGTAAATCAAGCATGATTTCATCCTAAATATGTTTTAAATTAAACAGTATAGGCAAATGCCAGTTCAGATTCAAAGACAAAAAATGCATACTGAAACATTTATTTTCAGGTACTCTGTTAAAGTTCAAAAGCACTTCACTAATTATCTCCTATAATTTAGGCCCCATGCTGCTATCAGATCCATGCATGCTGATCCTGGCACCAATGAAGTCAATGGGGCTCCATGTAGAAGTGGTTTTGTCTATGCAAAGCTAGTGCGCCTCTTTAAGGCAGGGTTCTTGTCTTCAGACCTGCCTGTAAAATACCAAGAACACTTCTTATTTTTATTTGTAAAAAGCTGGAAATTTTGTTTTCATTAATTTATATTAAGGTACCATTTTCAACTACTTTATGCAGATTTTTTTATAAATGATTATTAGCTGATTTAATTAATGGTTATTTGTTAGAGTCCAACAGGTCAATAAATTGATTATAAGCATGTATAGAATACCTTCCACTGATGTGCTTATAGCCATCTATAGCACATACTGCTTGTCTGTAACATGCTTATAAATCTATTATTTATAAACATAACCTTAAAGTGTAACCATAAAAGTCTTCTCATAGCAATACTGACTTCATGACCCCAAATTTTAAAATGCATTTTATTACAATATATCAAATATTTTATATTATCAAGAGTTTTATCAAAACAGTAAAAAAAAAGGAATAAGATAACCAGGACATTGATTAATTACAAGCACTGATACTAACTCCATCTGCTGCCCTTTTTTAAAAAGTGGGGCAGCTTTCCCTTCCAGATTAGTGGGGCACAACTGTCAATTACTTTGCTGCTGCCCAACTTGTCTTTTGTTTTGTAACAGAAAATGTTCCCTGCCTATTCTGCATGTGATGCATAAGGGCCATCTACTGCAGAATAGCTGTCGGAGTCTGAATTCAGTGACTGACATGAGAGTTGCAGCTGTCAGACAGTAAGAAATGTAGTATTTAAGGCAGACCCTTTAAGTAGGGTTCTTTTAAAGAGTGTTGCTAATATATTCCTCTCAGAAGTGTAACTGAAAGTGATCAGTAGACAAATGTTACATTCCTTTCCTTACTGCAGAAAAGGAGATTTCAAAAAAGCACTGGAGTTTGTTTGATTTCTTGAAAGGGGGGGGTTGAGCAGGAATTAGAACATTTAAATGATCATTTCAGAGACAAAGCACTTTCTAAGCTGTTTTTATTCTATTCTTGTATGGACACAAAGCCAACAAACAAGGAATAACGGTGGGGGTATGCAGATGCTGCGGAACCAGCCAGCCACATAGCTGGTGCACCTGCCAAGACACCCTGAAGTTCCTGCAAAAGCTGTTTCCCCACAGCTGCCTGTCTTTCGGAGAGAACGAGTCCCCTCAGCACAAACAGATTCTGATGCCAACCCAGCGTTTTCCCCTCCGCGCGCCCCAGGCGGACTGGAGACACCACAGCCCCGGGCACAAGGGCTGCACAAGCCTCGCCCCGGTGCTCAGGGGAAGGCAGCCCGCTAGGCTCCGACTCGTGCTCGCCTCCTCTCTGCGCACCCCACCGGGGTCTGGACTGCTCACGCGTTCCCTTCAGAAACGCTGACTCACGCAGCTCGCCTCCCAGCCCCAAACATGCCCGGGCCAGGGCGGGCAGCTCTAGTGCCCCAGAACCCCGCCTCGCCCTCTGCCCCACGGGGCACGGGCCGGCGGGCTTCGACCGCCTCGGGCCAGCGCCGCCGGGAGCACTGCAGCCAGGAGGGGCACGCACAGTCCGCGGCTCTCTCGCTAGGGGCAAGCCCCGCGCAGCACCGAAAAGCCCTTTGCTTCCTCCTCCACCACCACCCAGTGCTGACCCACAGGCGCCCCCGCGCTGCCCCAGCCGCCAAGTAACCCTCCTTCCCCCATAGAGCCCCACAGGGAAACCCGCCAGCTGGGCGCAGCCACCAGCCCTCCCTCCCCTCGGGGCGCCCTGGCGGCTGCACCCCGCGAGTCACCGCGGCAGCTGCGTAGGAAGGGGGCGTTCACAGGTGCTGCTGCCGGGGGATGCGCGGCTAACCCGCCTGCTCCCATCCCGCTGGCGCCCCAGCCGCGCTCCGTGTCCCGCCCGCAGGGTTAACCCCGGGTGCTCTGCGCGCCCCGGGAGCCAGCAGGAGGCGCCAGGCTGCAGCCGGGAGGTTGCGGTGGGCGCCCGGCCGGGGCCGGGGCACTTACTTGAAGGTGAGGACGCAGAGGGGGCGGTAGGACTTGTGGCTGGTGTTCTCGGCCATGCCCTTGCCCCAGAAGTCGTTGGCGAAGACGCCCGCCCAGGGGGCCGCCGCCCGCACGTCCGGGTTGTTCACGATCGCCCACACGTCGTCGTGCACGAACTCGCCCCGCAGAGAGTTGCCGTAGCACAGGGCGCACAGCCCGGCCAGCAGCAGCGCCGCGGCCGCCGCCACGCAGCTGCCGGAGCCGGGCCGGGCTGGAGCAGCAGCAGCAGCCCAGGCTGCGGGGAGAGGAGGAGGCGGCGGGGACGGCGGCAGCAGCGCTCGGTCCCGGCTCCTGCCGCTGGCGGAGGCTGTCACCATCCTGCCGGGCTGGCTCCTCGCAGGCGCGGGGCACCCTCCTCCTGCCGGGCGCGGGCAAGCAGCGGCGCTAGCATGGTGCCGCCGGGGCAGGCAGGAGCCCGAGCCGCTGCTGGCTGCTCGCGCTCTGCCGCTGCTCCGCCTGCCCAGCTGCAAATAAACAGCCACCGCCTCCCCCCGCCGTCCCTCCTCCCCCCGTCCCAGCACGCATGCTCCTTGCTGCGCTCCCCCCAGCCCTGCACCTGAGTTCTCCGGGGAGCGGCTGCCAGGGAGGGGGCAGAGGCCCGGGGCTCGTCTGCCCGCTGGGGGGAAAACAGCGTCAACCTGCCAAGGAAAAGCAGCAGCTTCAGCCCGCCTGCCCTGAGTGGGGAGGAAGACAACGTTTGAGCTTCGCAAACAGTGCTCTGTACAGCACCTTCCTATCCTTACCCCCATTTTATTGATGGGGAAACTGAGACATGGCCTGGGCCAGGGACCATGGTCACACAGCAAGTCAACAGAGCTGGGACTAGAACCTGCCTCAGATACATCCTAGCCCCATCCGCTAACCTTTAAAAATGCTGCCCACATCTTGATCTTTTTATCACGTTACCCGCCTCTATAATGACCTTCTCCCATGTCCCTCCCGGGGCAGAGGCACAGCACTGTCTGGATATCAGCTTCCTCAGCTGGCATGTTCACATCTCCCTTAACCCAAACAAGCTGCAAGATACACGAGAGGGTGGAGGTATCAAAAGGCAAAGCATGCTTCAGTTATCTAACCTTTTCAGCACCTGGGACAAGAACAGAGCCCAAGAGATTGAAACCTGTAAGGTAACATGTCAAATGTGAGATCCCACCATTCTCCCTCCCTATTGGCTATCATAAAATATTAGGTTCTTCTGTATAATTACACAAGCTAGCTCAACAACCCAGTAACAGGTACAATGGGATACTGCCAATGAGTTTGTGTTTCAACATCCATCACTTTAAAAGGCCCACTTACATTGGGCCATACTTGAATTCACACTTTTCAATGTCAGGAGCCTCCTCTGCTGCTGAGGTCCTTTCTTTATGTCATGACGATGCCATGTTGTATCCCAGCCCGGGATAAGCCTCATTTTCCGCTGCATTTTCTGCTAATTGGATTTCTTCTAATTTCTCCTGACTAAAGAACAACATACAAAAGCTCCTTGTAGACCAGTATTTGCATTGTGACACCATCTGCCTTTTAAGGAATTCCACCATAGTTTCTTGTTGGCAGATGAATGATCTTCTGTTGTGATGGCTTCTAGCATATGGAACTTGCTTTCACTGGACATCTGCTTCAGCCCATCCCTCTGAACATAAGAACAGCCCTACAGGGTCAGACCAATGGTCCATCTATCCCAGTATCCTGTCTTCCGAGAGTGACCAGTACCAGATGGTTCAGAGGGAATAAACAAAACAGAGGAATTATTGAGTGATCCATCCCCTGTTGTTCAGTCCCAGCTTCTACAGTTGTAGGTTTAGACAGACATCCAGATGCATCCCTGACCATCCCAGCTAATAGCCACTGATGGATCTATCCTCCATGAACTTGGCTAATTCTTTGTCAAACCCAGTTACACTTTTGGCCTTCACACCATCCCATGGCAACAAGTTCCACAGATTGAATGTATGTTGTGTGAAGAAGTACTTCCTTATGTGTGTTTTAAATCTGCTGCCTATTAATTTCATTGTTACCCCTGGTTCTTGTGGTACGTGACGGGATGAATCATACTTCCTTACTCACGTTCTCCACACCATTCAGGATTTTATAGACTTCTATATCCTTCCCCCCTCCTCTACTTAGTTATCTCTTTCTAAGATGAACAATCCGTCTTTTTAACCTCTCCTCCTCTAAAAGTTGTTCCATACCTTTAATCACTGTTGTTACCCTTCTCTGCACTTTTGCCAGTTCTACTATATATTTTTGAGATGGTGACTAGCGCTGCATTCAAAGTGTAGATATACTCTGAATTTATATAGTGGCATTATGATATTTTCTGTTTTATCTATCCCTTTCCTAAAGGTTCCTCACATTGTTAGCTTAACTGTTGCTGCACATTGATGTTTTCAGAGAACTATCCACACTGACTCCAAGATCTCTGAGTGGTAACAGCTAAATTAGACCACATCATTATGTATGTACAGTTGGGATTAGGTTTTCCAACATGTATTGCTTTGCTCTTATCAACATTGAATTTCATCTGCCAGTTGTTGCCAAGTCACCCACTTTTGTAACTCTTTGCAGTCAGCTTTGTACTTAGCTATCTTGAGTAATTTTCTATCTGCAGATTTTGTCATCTCACTGTTAACCCCCTTTTCCAGATCATTTATGAATACATTGTACAGATCCTTAGGGGACCCCACTATTTACTTCTCTCCACTGTGAAAGCTGACCATTTATTCCTACCTTTTGTTGCCTATCTTTTAACCAGTTACTGATCCCACAACTGCTTACTTTCCTTAAGAGCCTTTGATGTGGGACCTTGTGAAAGTCTATGTACACTATCAACTGGATCACCCTTGTCCATATGCATGTTGACACCCCCAAATCATTCTAGTAGATTGGTGAGGCATAATTTCGCTTTACAAAAGCCATGTTGATTCTTCCCCGACCTATTGTGTTTATCTAGGTCTCTGATAATTCTGTTATTTACTGCCAATTTGCCTGGGACTGAAGTTAGGCTTATGGGCCTGTAATTGGCAGAATGGCCTCTGGCCACTCTTTAAAAATCAGCATTATATTAGCTATCCTCCAGGCATCTGGTACAGAGGCTGATTTAAGCAATACGTTGCAGAATTATTAACTGTGGTATGTCATTTCATATTTGAGTTCCTTCAGAACACTTGGGTGAATGCCATCTAGTCACAGTGACATATTACTACAGTATTTATCAATTTGTTCCATTGACAATCTCTTCTATTTCAAAAATCTAAAAAAACCTCCTGCCATATTTATTTTAAATTGTCATCCTATAGAACATCTGCACTCTTTCAATAGACCAGTGATATGCTGACAATATTTTAAGATGAGGTCCTATTAAAATTCTCCCACTTAGCCTCTGAGACAGACACACACAAGACAAAACACTAGTAATTATTAGTTTGTTTTCTTATTTAACCAAAGGCACTTTTCCTATCACAAACAATCAAGCAATACCAGGTAGCAAAACAAAGTTAAATTAAATGCATGGACATATTTAAGCTTTCGTTACTGAAAAATATACGACTATACCACAGCATTCAATTTGTATAATTTGAAGTGGGGGGAGGGGGAGAGGAGGAATGAAGAGATTTTGCTGAGTCATCCAGAACTACCCTCCTGCAGGATTCATTTATTTATTTTTGCACTAATACTTGACATTTAGTGCTATCTGGTTGTAACAGGGTGCTCCCTGCACTTCTGTCATCCTCTGTGCACACAGACTACTTGCAGATTCTACTCGTAAACACCACAGGTGGTTTACTTACAGTGTTCCTCCATCACCTTTACACCACTGTGCAGCACCTTAGGTACAATAAATGCAAGTCTTCAGCCCCTTGGAGCAGTGATAGATGAGGGAGACGATCTCTCACTCCCAGATTTCTCTTGCCTCTGGCTCTCAAACTCTGCCCACTCCCCACCCCCCCGAACATTGTCTTCCACTTGCTGCTGCACATTTGCTTGCTCTTGTTTAAAGTCCTGCAGACTCTTCAGCTACTCCGCCTGCCCACTGAGTGATGCCTGTGTAACTTTAGCGCCCTCGTGACCAAGATGGAGTCTGCTCTGCAGGCAGCTCTGGCCAAGAGAAGGCGCGCGCAGGAATGCAGCAGGAAAAATCCCTTCCACCCCCAGGGCACCTGTTCCAAACTCCCCCCCGAGTGAACACCAACAGGAAAAGTACAATGGATATAACAAAGAGAGATATATATTTACAGAGGGATGAGAGGAGAAAAACAACAAGGGGAAATATAGGGAGAGCAGTAGAACAGGGTTGCATCCAAGCCGAGGCCCCACAGGCCCAGTGGTAGCACAGTCTGGAAGGGCAGACACTGAGCAATGTGTCTGCACACCGAGTTCAGGAGTCCTGAGCAAAGTTCCAGTCCAGTGGTGAGTCTTGGGTGCTCCTGGTCGTCTTCAGCGCCAGTGAACTTCCCCCAACAAGCCCCTCCGATGCCCTGTTCTGCCGCTCTCTGCAAAGCCACACAGAGCGACCACCTCCCCACTTAACTAGCTTGCAGCCTCCCTCCTTATTCCCAGTGCAGAGTCAGAAGCCCCAGTACTCACAGCCCCATGCAGCTCTGAGCAGCAGTGATACTGGGTCCAGCTCCGGCCTGTCCTTCTCGAGCGATTCCTCCCTGGCACAGTGCTCCTCCTGGCTCCTGTCCTTGGGTGTCCCTGATAGGTTCTCTGCTGCTTCACTTTGTGAGGGCCTGCGGGCTGCAGCCCTTCTCTCCCCCAGAGCTCCAGAGCCACACACCCTGAATTTCCCTCCTTTCTCTCACTGCTCCCCCCCCCCAGGAAAAAGATTTAAAGGGGCCATGCTCTAAAACCCCAAAGGGGTTACACCTGCCTCGCCAGATGGTGTGACTGCTGGAAGCTATAGGTCTTCTGCATCTCCTTTTATTATTCCGTCAACCATTGCAGGGTCTCTGCCATCATCCTTCACACCCACCCCTCCCTGGGAGATTCTCCCTCTGCCTGGATCAAGGCAAGACCCCAGGCAGG